TAATTATACATTTTGTGAAACATCTAAAATGGAAAAGAGAAGTGCAGAATACTACAATAATCACTTAGATTGTTTCATTGCTCTTATTTAGTTAAAATAAGATTCTGTGATATTAATAAATCTTCAATACTGTGATTTTTAATGAACCTCAACAATATCCACATTTGACCATGTTTGTGTTCAGGCATTGCCAAGATCCCTCTAATTTTAATATGCTATGAGCCTCACAGTGTTATACTATTAAAGGATTCACATTTAGTCTGCAATTGGAAGGGAATTAATAAAATATTAAAAACACAGAAAGAAAATGATAAAGATAGGCATATCAGTACATTTTCACCAGTAGACATATCTACATGGAAAACAGAAGCATAAAGATAAGATTGCTCTTAAGCATAGAATCAGAGCAAGGGGAGTTAGTGAGATAATATTGATGGCTCTGTTATTAATCGAGTTTACCTGGGTTTATCTAATTCCTGACAGGGAAGACCTACTGCACATTCCAGAGAATGCTATCCATAGGCAGGGACATTTGCTACAGTATTGGAGTTTTACTATAAAATTTGAACACTGCTCTTTCTCCTGTTCTCTACCCTTTAAAAATATATCACCTGAAATCCACTAAGAAAAAAAAAAAAGCAATTTATCAATTACCTTCTGAAATGTAACATGGTATATTTTGACTATGCTCAGTAGAAACAGATTTAACCTAGATTGACCAAAAAATTAATTTAAAAATTGACAGTTTTCTATACAATTATTAGAGATGAAACTTACCAAGTTTTCTTTTTTTTTCTTTTGGTCTTTGTTGCAAACCTGGGCCCCCTTTCTTCCATCATTGCAGCATAAAGAATGTAAGAGAACAGGAAAGTAGCATTGGTAACACTTTCAGTTAGAGCAAGTTGCATTTAAGATGGAGCAATAGCATTTCTGCTAATCTTTCAACAAAATTCTACTCTCTAACACTGTAAGAGTAAGATTTCTCCTTAGTATAAATTTAAGTGCATGATGATTATGCCAGTTTGATTTAGATAGTATAGTTTGAATTTATTAATTCAAAGCTGCAAAATAATCTTAAACCATGATTGTGTGTAACGATATCTTATCAAAGCAAAATATGCTGATGGGGTACGTTACTTCATATTCCATAGATAAGATGATGATCAAAGTAAATACCTCCTTTGAGTCCATTTCTGTTGAAAGAAGGCCTTGGAGGCTTACATACCACACTTAATTTGGATACCTCTCAAATCAGAGGTATCCAGAGCAGCATTAATTTTCTAAACCTCATAAATATCACCGAAATATGAGTTTGATTTCTTAGAATTTCTATGCAATTATTCTAACTGACAGAGGTAGACTATAGTAATTAAAAGATAGAAAATGCAAAGTCCAGGGAAGAGATCTGGTTAAGAGAGTTGAATTCAAATCCTTAACAAGTGGTAGGTCACTTATTAGCTGTGTGACTTTGGGAGAGTTACTGATCCTCTCTGGCTGTGGTTTCCTTAATATCTAAAATGTAGATGATAATAGCAACTGCTTTTGTAAAAATTAATAATGGGGCATATAGCAGACATTTAAAATATGATAGTTCTTGCTGTTACTCTTTCCCTATATTCTAGGCCAGTCTACAACTTTTTTTTTTTTTTTTTTTTTTGAGACAGAGTCTCACTCTGTTGCCCTGGCTAGAGTGAGTGCCATGGCATCAGCCTAGCTCACAGCAACCTCAAACTCCTGGGCTCAATGGATCCTACTGCCTCAGCCTCCAGAGTAGCTGGGACTACAGGTATGTGCCACCATGCCTGGCTAATTTTTTCTATATATACTTTTAGTTGTCCAGATTATTTCTTTCTATTTTTAGTAGAGACGGGGTCTCGCTCTTGCTCAGGCTGGTCTCGAACTCGTGAGCTCAAGCAATCCGCCCGCCTCGGCCTCCCAGAGTGCTAGGATTACAGGCGTGAGCCATCGTGCCCGGCAGTCTACAACTTTTTTGACTGCGAGGGAACAGGGAACAGAATGTATGCCTGTTCAAAGTAAGATACATATTTTGTGTCTCAATCCCTCAACCCAGCAAACACAGCATATATAATTGAAACAAAAGTTTCACAAAATAGTATTTACTTACCATACTATGTGCCATGTACTATGTATTATTACTTATTGTCTGTCTCCTATTAGAACTGAAGTACCATAAGGATAGGGGCGTTGGTCAGTTCTGGTTCACTTGTGTGCCCCCAGAGCCTAGATCAGTGCTTGGCACCCAGGAAATAATTTTTTTTTTTTTGAGGATCAATGAATGAATGAACGAATTGTTAACTATCACACAATGGTGTTGTTTTCAAAGTGTTTTTCTTATTTATTCCACAAGTAGAAATTATTTACATAATTATCAGCATTGTTGATCTTAAATACGTGATATGTAGCAGAGAGACTGTCCTATGTATGTTTTTAAAGTTTCTTAATTTCTATTCCTTCAGTTTTGGGGAAGTAAAACCAAAAAGGTGGTTATACTGCTGTTAATGGTGCTGGTGATGGAGGCGGTGGCGTGGATTTCTGTTTCTAGGGAGGATGACAAATAAAAGTCTATCAAGACGCTCAGGGATCCAAAGTATTATGCCTGTGGCTGCTAGATTCTTGGAGTCCAGCGCTAACCTGGTTTGGTAAGCAACAAAGGAAGAAAGCCGCAGAATATTTTCTTGAACGATCTCCTGATGCAACTGTTTACCGTTTTCATGTCAGCACCCAGGGGGAGCTTTCGGCCACAGATTCCCACATTCTATTAATTCCCAGGACCCGGGCTCAGGGAAAAAGCGCGGCGGGCTGCGGGGGCGCAGGGCCAGAGCGGCGCGGGCGGCAGGCGAGGGCGGATTCCGGACAAGGGCGGCGGGCAGCGAACTCTCGCCACCTCACTGGTCGCCGCCGGGTCGCACGCCCACGCCGCGCATTCCCCAGCGGCGACAGGTGAGTCGCAGTCCCGGGCCAAGCACACAGCCTGTGGGGTCGACGCCCGCGCCCCAGGCGGCCCGGAGTTGGAGTAAGAGGGTCCGGGCGGCGGCGGGGAGAGGCAGGGCCGGGAGGCGGGAAGTGTGCCCGCACGGGGGCGTTGACACCTGCCCGGGGGAGGAGCCAGAGAGGAACCTGGCTATTTGCTGCTCCAAGGCTCCGGAGTAGGGAGAACCCATCCTGACCATGAAGGGCGCCAAAGGCATTGAGAACCCGGCTTTCGTCCCTTCCACCCCAGACACCCCGCGCCGCTCGTCTGCATCGCCGGGTCAGGTCGAGGTGTCTGCCTTGTCTTCCGTCCCCCAGAGAGAGGATTCTCAGCCACAGGAACCCCAGGAGCCCCAGGACCCCCAGAAGTCACCGGAGCCACCGCTGCCTTCAGCGACTCCCCCAGTCTCCCAGGAGCAGCCGGGGCCACAGCCGCTGTCCGAGTTTGAGGAGGGGCCGTGCGGGTGGAGGAACTTCCACCCCCAGTGTCTCCAGCGCTGCAACACGCCCCAAGGCTTCCTGCTTCACTACTGCCTCTTGGCCGTCACGCAAGGTAAAGTCCAGCGCCCGCTCCAGGGGCTCTGGCCGAGCGGAGAGCTGGCAGGGCGCGGCGAGCCACAAGAGGGCAGGTGCGAAGGGATCCCGGGCGGTCTCACGCTTGCAACTTGCGTGCGCTCTCACGGCGTCCCCAGACTAGGCTCTGCCTTCCACATTTTAGCTTCTCCTTTAAGGCAACGTTTGAAACTTGGTATACAAGCTTCTCTACCCTCCCCCCTTTTGTGGTCTACCTCAGGTTAGCGGATTCCAAACCTCCAGGGAAGATTAGGAGAACTCTACTTTGGGAAAGTATACCCTGGGGGAGCTTATTTTACATGATAAAAGCATACCTTTCACTGAATCCCTTATTAAAGGGATTTGTTTGTACATTGTTTCTGCAGCGGACGGATTAATACATTCGCAGATGAGAGTAGGAGGTTTGTCAAAGGAGAAAGCTATTTAAAATCTATAGTATAGATTAGATAGAAGCATTCACGTTTTGTGAGTTTGAGAGAATGTGGGCACTAGTGGAGCCCAGTGAGTGAATTAGCGAAGGCTTCCCGCGTTGTTGAAGGGTAAGCCTTTATTAGTTGTTCAGCCACAGTAGTTATCCAGTATCTGTTTTGTTGTAGGTAGGATCTCTGTTGGATTCTTTTGGGAGTTGCAGATTAAGTTCAGGTTTATACCCTTAGGAGTTTGTAATCTAAGTCGAGTTTGGAGGGAGAATGCCTCCCTTGATAAAAATAGAAAAGGTAAAAGCTGCTAGGGTGTTGTGTCTAATGCAGGGGAATGAAAGAAATGTGAAGTTATATTAAGGTGACAAATTGGAGATGGGTGGAGACAAGGTGGAGTGTGTTGAAGGACATGCTGAAGGTTAGTTTGAATTGATATGTGCATATTTTTTGGTCATTTGAGTCATAGTCTTAAAATATTATGTAAATGATCAATCAAAGATTGGAAGAAATGCAATCTAAAAAATATTTTTGGGGGGTTGGAAATTGCTCTTGTTTAAGTTAACAGAAAATGAAATCGAAGAATATATATACTTTTTGTTTTTATTCCTGCTTCCCCTCTCCAAGGAACCCAGTACCCCTTGCTTTGCACATGTTAGGTGCTAAGTAACTATTTGCTGATTGGAAGTCAGCTACAGCTCTTCTACTGAAGGTAGATTTCGTGTCTGGAGTTACTTCCTTTTCTACCTTTTTTGTCTCCACCAAAGTTTCCCTTGCGTTAATGTGTTGATCGTAGTTGTCCAAAATCAGTGATTGTGAAGAATCTCAGTGTCAAGGAATGAGAAGTTCAAAAAACTGGACACAAGTAAAAACTTTATCTTGTGTTTTATCTTAAAATTCTCCTGAGACTTCTATATTATTCCAGAATATATAATTTTATATATAATGTAAAATATTGTTTAAAATTATTATCAAATGTAATTGGCATGCTTAGAAAAGTGTGTCAGGTTTAGTGTAGTTCCTCATATATCTGGAGATCCCCAATTTAAGAAGCATAATCTGAGAGGAGAGTGACCTAATACATTGATTCACGTTTCAGTTTAAGTTTGAATGACTGAAAACATTATTGCCATGTTTCTCAAACATGGTCCTTAGGAAAACTATTTTTGTAGAATATTAATAGATGTTTAATTGGGAAGAAAAAACTTGTCAAATGAGTTGATTTTATTTAGCCCAACATTTCTCAAGGACAAACAGGGTTTCTTTTAGCACTTGATATCATAATGTGCTTCCTATCTTCATGTATTTACAATAGAGATGTGGTGTGCGGTGTGTCATGGCATTTTTTTTTTTTAAAACAGTGTGTTCTTGGAACTTACATAACATAGAATTCATGTTGGAATTCATAGGATTAAAGTACTATCCTTCCAAAGAAGTTTACGAATTTACTTTTCCAAAGAGAAGTTTTACCATTGAAGGCAATAATTTCTCTGATTTTTAACGAGTATGGCAGTTGTGTTGGGAAATTGATTTTTGAATGGGGAAATTTTCATATTATCAGATAACTTTATCTCCTTATAAAAATGTCCTTCCTAGGTACTTTAGATACTTTATCTTGAAATCCCCGGGACTTGTAATTGGTTTATAGTCTTATTAAGTTGGTATAAAAGTAAAAATCATGTTTGGACTTTTGAAACTTGTTATATTCATTTTTCTTGAAATATATTGTTAGTTAGTCTTGATAAAGTAAAATTTAAAGAGATTATAGAAATCATGACTTGATTATACTCATTCTGTTAATTAATGAATGGAAAGAGTTTATAATACCTTTTTTTTTTTTTGAGACAGAGTCTCACTCTCTTGCCTGGGGCAAGTGCCGTGGTGTTAGCCTAGCTCACAGCAACCTCAAACTCCTGGGCTCAAGCAATCCTACTGTCTCAGCCTCCCGGGTAGCTGGGACCACAGGCACGCGCCACCATGCCCGGCTAATTTTTTCTACATATATTTTTAGCTGTCCAATTAATTTCTTTCCATTTTTTGGTAGAGACGAGGTCTCGCTCTTGCTCAGGCTGGTCTCGAACTCCTGAGCTAGGAACGATCCTCCCGCCTTGGCCTCCCAGAGTGCTAGGATTACAGGCGTGAGCCACCGCGCCTGGCCTTATAATACCTCTTAAGTAAAAGAAATAACTAGTTAAAATTTGATCATATGTTTTTTGTTTTCAATCTATAGCAATGTTTAAACTCCTGTAAGTTTAATCTATATCTGGACAGAACATTTTTAAGTCAGTCAAAATCAATTTTGTCTTTCTTTGTTTACCTTCTATTCCTTCATTATAGTTATAACAAGCAGATGAAGTGTAAGGTTTTTTTTTTTTTTTTTACTTTTTTCTTTTACTTTGTTTATGATTTAGAATGCTAGTGGCTGAAATAAGACTCTTAACTCATGTTTATTTTTGCTCCAGAACTTTTTAAATAACTTAATATCTGTAAGAATGTTAGAAAAAAATAGGGGTTGGAGAGCTCAATTTGTCCTTCTTAAGACTAAATCAAAGTACTCTCTTGTTATAGATAAGTATATTTAAGGATTGAGTAATTTGGGAAGCAATTGAGTGTAACTACAATGGCCTGTGGGGTCACTTGTACCTTTCCTACTCTCCTGAGTGAGGTCCATGGGAGTATACTACAATTGGAAACTCTACAGCAACCTTTCATGGGACTTTACTAGCCTGAACTTTTTGTTGGTCATTTAAAGAAAAATGAATTACAGATGGTTAACTACAATTTAGTATGTAGCAAACATCAGTTTTGTTGAACACCTGAAAATTCACAAGTGTACAATTTATAAAGCAAATTTATTTCCAAGAAAGTATGTTTGGGTTGCTTAACTATAAAATTTCCAGACTTTTAAAATTGGCACATTTAAAAATACCAAAAAACCCACGAACAGTGAAACTTTAGTGCATTGTGTTAATAATCATGATCTGTATGGTAAAGTTGTAATAATGCACATAAATTTCCTTTTCTCTTTTTGTAGGTATTGTAGTTAATGGCCTAGTAAATATTAGCATTTCCACGATTGAGAAACGTTATGAAATGAAGAGTTCACTGACTGGCCTAATATCATCAAGTTACGATATTTCATTCTGTTTGCTGTCTTTATTCGTATCATTCTTTGGTGAAAGAGGACACAAGCCAAGATGGCTTGCATTTGCATCCTTTATGATAGGACTGGGAGCACTTGTATTTTCATTGCCACAATTTTTCAGTGGAGAATATCAATTGGGGTCCATTTTTGAAGGTAAGTGTCTATTGTGTTTATGTTTGTTTTAATCCAAAGAACTAGTTTAAAACTAGGTTGTTAACTTTATGTTGCAATCCACTTGTACAGTAGGGTAAGGGTTTAAATCTCTTGCACTGCTCACTGCTTCATTTGTTATGTGAATTATGTGAGATAGGGCATTACAGAGGCAGACTGTACATTATTCATTGCTTCAGTGGTTCACCCAAGTTTTTAATCTTTTGATTCTCATTCTCGATATTACACAGAAGCCTTCTCAAAAAGAGATGACTGCTTTCCTTTGCAGGTGTTGTGACCTCATTGGAGTTCTGAGACCTGGAATTTTTCCCTTGGTGCTTTTATTTTCTGTGTTTACAGCTCTGGGCCCTGGACATATTGACTCTTGATTTGAGACAAAGAGAGGTGACATTTATAGATGTGGGACTTTTCCAAAGAAAAGTCTACTGTTGAAACTATCTCTACTTTTGGCTCTAGTTTAGAGACACAGAACTTCAGAGCAACCTACAGTGTTGCTATGCTGTTGCTGTGGTTAGATAAAGACGTATATTATTTAAAGGCTCAGAAAGGAAATTTAATTTTTTAAATTTTTTACAAAAAATCTTTTTTAGTGGAAAAGAAATTATGGTAGAGCCAGAGGCATGTGCTAATGAAAGTAGACCTTAACATTTTTATGTCCTTCCTGAGACTTTTAATAGCAAATATTGAAATAATTAGGAATAAAATCAGATGGTTACAAATTCAGAAGCTTTCAGGGTTTAAGTAAATGGAGAAAAGGCTTAGGAGAGAAAGGAGAATTGAAGGCTGCTACACTATAGGAGTTATGTTTAAAATGTTAAGATTGTTATATTTGTGCGTTAATATTGAAAATTAATATTTGCCCCCCCCAAACCTCATGTTGAAACTTGATCCCAATGTTGGAGGTGAGTGCCTAGTGGGAGGTGTTTTGGTCATGGCAGTAGACCGCTCGTGAACACATTAATGCCCTGTGAGTGTAGGGGGGTGAGTGAGTTCTTAGTCTGTTAACTCCTGAGAGAGCTGGTTGTTTTTTTTTTTGAGACAGAATCTTACTCTGTTGCCCGGTCCAGAGTGCCATGGCGTCAACCTAGCTCACAGCAACCTCAGACTCCTGGGCTCAAGCGATCCTTCTGCCTCAGCCTCCCGAGTAGCTGGGATTACAGGCATGTGCCACCATGCTCAGCTAATTTTTTCTATATATTTTTAGTTGTCCAGCTAATTTCTTTCTATTTTTTTCTTAGAGATGGGATCTCGCTCTTGCTCAGGCTGGTCTCGAACTCCTAAGCTCAAACAATCCGCCCGCCTCGGCCTCCCGGAGTGCTAGGATTGCAGGCATGAGCCACTGCTCCTGGCTGAGAGAGCTGGTTGTTAACAAGAGCCTGGCACCTCCTCTCTTGCCCTCTTACTTCCTCTCTCACCGTGTGATCTCTGCACACACTGGCTCCCCTTCCACCATGAGTAGAAGCAGCTGGAGGCCCTCACCAGAGGCAGATGCTGGTGCCATAGTCTTATACAACTTGCAGAATTGAGAGGCAAATAAACCTCTTTTCTTTATAGATTACCCAGCCTCAGGTGTTCCTTTATAGCAACACAAATGGAGTGAGATAATATTAAAGTATTAATCTCTTCCAGGACCAATTTTCCAAGTCTAGAATGATAACAAAAAGGAAAATACTCTCGTAACAAAGTATATATTATGTAGCATGGTTTCAGGAGTATTCTTTTTAGGTATGTAGACTTGATTTTAGAAGTCAAAAATAGAATATTCAAGCAGATGGATGAATATAGGGTGTTTTTAAAATGGGATAGAGTTTGGAATGGTTAAGATAAGGAGAATATGTTATCAGTAGAAAAAGCACTTATGTAGATTCTAGCATATTATCCAAGATTGAATAAGATTGCACAAGGCCAACTTGACTTAACTTCACTGGGAGTAGTTTTAGGAACAAGGCACATACTGTAGCATAGGCTACAGTATAACACCTTTGAAATCTAAATAGTAAGGGAAAATCTAAATTTTAATCCACCACACAAGAAAACATGACACTGATTCTATGGTAGTGAGAATGTTACTGGTGTACAGCATTTAGTTGGTCATCTTTGTGCTGCATCTAGGCCCTCACCCAGATGCCTTTCTTGCTCTTAAAGTAAACAAACCTTCCTCAAAAATCTATGACTCTCTAAACTAAAACATAAACACTCCTTCCAGTACAAAAGCCTAATCTGTCTTCAGCGATCATCTCATGCCATGCACACCTGGAATTACAGCCAATCTGAACAATTTATATTTCCCAAAGGGAGATGGCCACAAATTAAAATATGTGTGTGTGTGTGTGTGTGTGTGTGTGTGTGTGTGTGTGTGGCCAGAGATGAAGCTAAGAAGATTTCTGGAGTTAGATCATAAATTTTTAGTACATTACTGTGTACCGTGCAGGTTTTCACTAAATTCTTGTCACTCTAATTGACATTTTTCATTATTTTAGCAGATTAGATTTAGTACATTATCGAAATGGATTACTAGAGGAATTGCCTGATCTGTAAAATTTTTACTCTAAATTAAGACTTATATTTTAAATAGTAGCTTATCTGTGGCAAATGAAAGCAAAAACTCAGGTTGCTCTTAGGTTATTCTGCCATTCATACAACAGATATTTATTGATATGAGCTATATACATGGTACTGAGATAACAGCAGTAAAACAGTTCCACACCATCTGAATTTTATGTGCTAGCAGGAAGAAATACATAATTAATAAACAAATCAACAGGAGAATTAAAAACTGAGGTGTGTAGATGAATGCAGAAGGTAAATATGTGAACCAGGGAAGGCTACTGTGATAATAATTGTATAATGAGGAGCCTGAAAGATGCTTTCCAGGCTGGAAAAAACATGATTAAGGGCCTTGGAGTAGAGAAGAGCTTAGCAGATTTTGGGAATTGTCAGTTTGGGGCAGCATAATCAAAGCAACAGAGAATGTTTTGCAGACACAGGTAGACACCAGGGAGGTATTTAGATTTTGCTGGAAGTGCAGTGCAAAGTTGTGGAAGAGTTTTACACAGGGAAGTTCATGATCTTATCTGTATTTTAAAATGGTCATTTTGGCTTTTGTAGTTGTGAGAGGCAAGAGTAAATAGGAGGAAATAACTCAGGAGGTTTTTATTGTAGTTCATGTGAGAGATAAAGGTGGCTGAGACTAGGATGTAGATCTGAAGTATAGATCCAAAGATCACTGATTCTCAGTGTATTTTAGAGGGAAAAGAGATAGGACTTTATTGAATTTATTGTGAAGGAGGAATGAATATTGATTCCTTGGTATTTGGCTTGATCAACTGAGGCCATTTTAACTAGGATGTGAAAGATTAGATTGAACAGAATTGGAGGTGGAAATCAAGAATTTGGGTTTGGAGTTTTTAAATATGAACTGCCTGTTGTATATCCACTGTTGCAATATGTATCCTCAAACATATGTGTTTATGTAAATGTTGTCAATCATTCATTAGGCTTGATTCCCAGAAGTGCAAACGCTGAATTTAAAGGACTTCCTCATTCTAATGTTTTTTTTTTTTTTTTTTGAGACAGAGTCTCACTCTGTTGCCCCGGCTAGAGTGCCATGGTGTCAGCCTAGCTCACAGTCAACCTCAAACTCCAGGACTAAAGGGATTCTTCTACCTTAGTCTCCCCAATAGCTGGGACTATAGGTGTGCGCTGCCAGGCCTGGCTAATTTTGTTCTATTTTTAGTTGCCTGTGTTATTTTCTTTCTATTTTTAGTAGAGATGGGTCTTGCTCTTGCTGAGGCTGGTCTTGAACTCCTGACCTCAAGCGACAATCCGCCCGCCTCGGGCTCCCAGAGTGCTAGGATTACATGCCTCATTCTAATGTTTGACAGATAATTGCACACTGACTTTCAGCAAGGAATATACCAGTTACTCTCTCACTGTCAGTGTATGAAAATGCCTCGCTGCTATTAATATTTTGAAGTTTTGCATTCTTTTTTTTTTCCTGAAAGTTTTCCTTAACAGAAATGTCATCGTGAGGGGTGTGTGTGCAGGTGTGTATAATATAACAGATATAGAATTCAGGACTGGGATTGCATTGCATATCTAAATAACCCAGACATTTAGAAACCAGAAGGAATGTTAGAAATCATAAATCCCCCTTTTTTAAACAATGTAAAACCTTAGGGCAAGAGGTGAAGTGACTTCATAGTGATTTCATAGATGATTAACAACAACTAAAACGAATCCTAATTTTTCTGCTTTCTTTAATGTTTTTCAAATTTTGATGCTTAATCCATAGTAGGTATTAACTTTATTGAATGATTTCAATATTTTTATGCATTTAAAGTATTTCTTCCCAATTTCAAATAGTCTGGTATAATGGTCTGTACTTTCTTTAAAACATCATAACTTATCTGCTCAAGTAAACTCATCCACTTTTGCAAATATGGGAACCTATAACCCAAAATCTGAATTATTTATCTAACTTTGAGGAGAGTAGAGAAGAAAACTGGAGATTTAAGTAGGAAAAGGAAAACAAATTAGTTGAAAGATTCCTGTAAATAAATTAGAAGAAAGGGAATGCACAATCTTCTTAAGTAACATAACATAGAGCATAACATTAAGAAATCATTTTATTAATAGAAATCATGCACGTAATTTAATTTGAAATGGGCACTGAGGAAATTAACACACCTTTGTGTGCTTTTTTTTTGTTGTTCTTGTTTTTTGAACTTGAGGGAAACCAAAGTCAGGGCTCACTTTAGATGGGATAATCTCTATAAGAGGTGATTAAAGTAATATAATACAGTTAATAAGTAGAAAAAAACAAAATATGAAATATGATAAGCATCTATAATTTCTCCAGGTGCGAGAATAACACAAAAGGAGGTTAAGAGTTAGCAAAAGATAGAAAGATGTGTTTAGAAACAGCTTAAATTTTTTATTGTTCTGCAAAAAATAAATTTAAATAGGTTTGTGAGAAAGGT